GTCTGCCTCTGGGTATTATCTTATCGGACATGGATGGTTACCGCTTCCAAAAAAAATATGTGAAAGAACTACGATCCCCATTGTGAGATTTATTGGAACAAAACCGTCTAATCACAAAAAATGAAGCGATAAGCGGCGTCACGGATCATTATTTAGCCAATAACCGTGACGGGAATTATCATCGTCATTTATAATGGCAATAACTAAATAATTGAATACGCTCCGATATGTATATCTATAACATATATGCATATACCACACAGATACATCGAAACAAAAGAGTAAATTGCCATCAATTACTCTGCCCTTGCCCCATTACGGCTTCTTCGACAGCTGTGTGCCTTTTTTCCCCACTGTGCACTGCACTCAAAATCCTGGTCAATTGTTAAGTTCAAACTAATTTACATTGTTATTATAATTCTGTATTAGTTTTTAATTTACTTGAATCACAATGCTTTTAAAATTAAGAGTACTACTTTTTTTATACCCTGGCAGGGAAATGATTTCAGTCAGAAGCTCGAAACGTATTGAAGGAGTACCATATATTATATATATTCTTGATCAGCATGAAAAGCCGGATCGATCTAGCCATTTCAGACAGAAAAATACATTTTACCATCGTTTTTTCCAAATTTTATAAGAGGTTACATCGTTAAAGTTTTCAAAAACTTATAAAAATTGTAATATTTTTTTATTAGTATGTAGATTTGTTAAGCTGGTAAAAACTAACAGGGAAGTTTACCGGATTAAAATTAATACTTTTTTTGGCTTTGTTATGAGTTTTTTAAACTTTGATTCGTAAAAATTGGCATAAAAAATACCGATAAATATTGATGTAAAGATAAGAAATATTTGATGCTTAGTTATGGTCGATTTCTGATGTATGATTCAAGGTATGTAATACCCAACCTACCCTAAGTTAGTTTTTCTTTCTTCTTTAAGGTGATATTTTTAATTTTAGAGACATTTTCGGTAAAAGAAATAAATAATTTAGATAAATATTAAATGAAGAGCAGTTACTTCCAAATTTAACATTTAAATTTGCCTTGTATAAAAAACCTTGAAGGTCTTCAAAGTTTATTTATTAAATTAATTTGTATGTAGATATTTTTTGTCAGTGTCGTGTGATAATGTTTATACCTGTAGTTGTTCTAATGGGTTTTTGAGTTACCGGAGGGCGGTGGGAGCTTCTTTTTCACCTTTAACCCCCTCGTAACCACTGAGAGCACCCTTCTATTGTTATCCAACCAATAATGGTTCCAAATCATGGCTCATTGGCCATACGGCCAAATGGTGTGCAAATAAATGCAAACTCATGGCTCGTCATTCAGATTTACATTCACATTCACATTCAGAACGACATCGTCACAGTCATCGGCATTTTGTCCATTGTGAAGGCAAAGTTCACCGGGGCAAAGCCAATGCCAATGTCAATGCCAGAACCTTTTGACTCACCTTTGCTATTTGGATGAAGGTAATGAGTACGAGTAAATGCTTGCCGATAAGGATTACCAGTTGAATCTGAAACGGAAACTGAAACTGAATTTGAATCCGAATCTAAATCCTTGCAATTAAGGAACCAAAGCTCTCCTGGTGGCAGCGGTAAATATTACATGAATAAAACAATCAGTCACCAAAGACAACTCCGAGAATAGCAAAGGTGAGGGAAATTGATGCGGAAAAGGTCAAAGTATCACGGAAAATATAGTTTGCATTAAAGTTTGGCAAGAGTGTAAACCGTAGCAAAGATATAGACAATAAAGAAAACTTTATTAAGGGGAGTTATATACTCTTTTTTTGTTGGTTTATAGATTTTGCTTACAAATTTAAATAGTTTATTATTTGTAGAATATACTCTGAAAGTTTTATTATTATTAGTTTTTGCTTTAAATAGTAATTAAATAATTGTATATATCCGAAGTTTTAAAACAAATTAAACATTTTTTAAATATTAAATTGAGTATGCAGATTTATTAATTTAATAAAAATATAGAAATTTCGGTTTCCTGAAGTATGTTTTCTTTTTTGTTTTATTCTTAACATTATATATTATATATTGTTATATATTTTTTATATTTATTTTATTTATCAAAGTTTAAAACTACCTTAACCAACCCTGTTAATGTCTGCAATTTATAATATCAACTCACTTCGCTCGATTTATTATCTCGATTATTTATTAATGGCTTGGAAAATTGCAATTTAATGGTGATTACAAGTTACTTAAAAATTCCAAACGATTTCTAAGCATTTTAATCGATAAAAAATGTGCATAAAAACAATCTAAATGAGTATAAATGATCGATTATAAAATGAACATTCAGATAGAACCCCCCGCTGGGATAACGAAACTAAAAACTTGAACTAAAAATTCACTTTCCCATAAAAACCTAAATATTTCTTTTTCGCATTTTCAAGATGATAAACAGACGAAGATATTGAGTCTAGTCGCGGTACTCAATGAGTTTTTATTACACGCTGTTGTTTATATGTTTATATGTAGAGGTCGTTAAATCATCCGGGGCCTCCAGGAGTCTATAAATAATGCCCCAAAAATGTAGTAATGCGATATCGTATAGTGATTTTAAGTGAACTTTGAAATCGCAAAATAGTATTTCGTACTTGAGTTGTTGTGTTCACTTGGCAAGTCCGACTAGTCCGGCATGTCTTGGCCTCATTAGCATTTCTAGTTAATCCCCGGATATGCAAATATATCTGTGTGCATTCCCTTGTGCGATTCCCATGTTAAACCCGCCTTATCGGAACCCCGTTGCAATGTCGAGCCAGTGTGATTATGGTGACGGTTTCAAGCATGATTATGGCTTATATCTTCAAACACAAGTTGCTATACACTAGAATTTCTAGTAATTTCATTTTAGTTATGGGGCCTCGAAATATACAAAGTGTGTTAGTGGAAAATGTTTCATTTAAGACTATTTAATTACAAATATTTTGGAATCTTTTTGTTTGCTGTAAAAATGCCAAATATTGTAGGTTCTATATGTACTTTTGTTTACAAATACTAAGGGAAAGCTATTTTTCATATTAACAAATCAAGTTGATATTTACCAAAACTAAACAGATATTTTACAAAAATACGTGTAATATGTATAAATTAGAAAGAGCAGAAAGAAATGTATCAATACTTTATTGATAATTTATGGAAAATTCGATAAATAACATTGGGATACTTTTTAAATTAAATTTTTTTGACATTACAAAGATTTGTATAAGAAAAATATGTAACAATTTTGATAATAAATATTAGATATTTAGGTAATAATTTTTACTTTATTACTTAAATGTTAATGAAGGAAAATTTAATTTTAATTTAAGCAAATTAGGTGTTCTTTGGGGTATATATATGTAAACAGTAAATTGATATTCTGTTTTGATACATTAAAAAAAAGTGATAAAGTAATTGAAATAACATTTTAGGGATATTTTCCTCAGATATAAATATTTAATTTTGATATATTATTTAATTTTGATATATCAAAGTTTACAATATTTTTGATATGATATCCGTAAGATTTATCATAATATAATAGAAAATATATTTATTCAATAAATAAATGTATTTTTAAAATATATATAAATATATAAAATATAAAATCTTTAAATTCTATCTAAATTCTTTACAATATATACAAGAAATTTATTTTGTATATCAATATATTTGAACCCATTTTGTTTTCAGTGTAGTTTTATCGTCTTCACCACCCTACCCAACCCCCCTGCTCGTGTCTAACCCTGATTATGCTTTGCACTATGCACTATATGACATTTAGGGGGATGAGGTTGTGCTCTAAGTTAGGTGGCAAAATGGGAACCTTAAGCTATGCCTCCGAGCTGCGTTCGTTCTGCATATTGACATGACTGTGACTGTACTTTCGCGTATATGGTAGCCATATGAACACATTGCTACGGCTGTCACTGATTTTCCAGTTTGTGGGATTATATAGTAATTTCAGCAGATTACCAATTGCCACAGGCATTTTGGCCTCTCAAGTTGTATGATTATAGGAAAGGATTCATAAGCAGATGTTCCTAGAAAGCATATACATATATATGTATTCTCTTTTTCAAATTCCTTTCTTTAAAATACATATATTTGGGACTTTATTTTATAAGTCAGATCTTATATAGAACGTTGTTGTAGATCTTTTTTCACTTTCACCAAGAAAAGTTGTGAAAAACTTAGCTACATATCGTTAATTACTTTAAGATTTTCATGGTATTATATATGATATAGTATCCCATAGTATATCTTTTATTATACATGCCACAGAAAAAGCCTTGGAAACTACTAGTAAGCTTTTTGCTATAAATTTTAAAGTCCGAAGTATATTTTTGTGTATATAATATATATACTATTTTTATTTACTTAATATTTTATCTACCTTTACCTTTAAAACCCTGACAGTAAAAATCAAAGAATAAAACCAAGCTTACCTTGGTTAAACTTAGTTAAAACCGTACACCACTGCGTATGCGTGATGTGCTATGCACAATTTAAAGGAACTCAAAGTAATTTTCAGGGTTTTGAAAGGTATTTTTGAGAATATATATATACAGATAGTAAAAATAATAATATATATATACTTTTATGTAAATATATTAGTATATATTTATACAATTTATACAAAAACCCTTTTACACACCATATCACACATACGCAGTGGTCTAATGTCCTAACTTACTTTTGATTAAGATAAGCTTGGTTTTATTCTAAGATTAGTATTTACAAATATGTTATAGTTGTTCTAAACGTTTTATAGATTATAGATCCTTTACTCTTTTAAACCCTGATTTCACACACCATATCACGCATACGCAGTGGTGTACTCTCTAAACTTTAATTTAATAAGAACAAGTTTGTTTTAATTCCTTGATTAATTCATTTACAAATGTATTAGAATTCTTTTAAAGGTGTTTTTGATTATCAATCATTGATTTATTATAAAACCTAATAGTTTAAACTTTCAATTTCCTTTCAGATGCCTGGTCTTGTGGTCTTCAGACGCCGCTGGTCAGTCGGCTCTGATGATCTCGTGGTGCCGGGCGCATTTCTCCTGACAATTCATTTCATTTGGTATGTAAAACAGAGCGATATAATATCATTTAACCATTTAACCATTCTTAGTTCTAGTTCATAACAAATATTAATGTATATTTCTGTTCTTTTCTTGTTGTTGTGACAGTTTTGTGATTGTTGGCTTCTCGTTGGGTTTCTTTGAGTATAATACACGAATTTTAAGTATAAAACTATTGTTCTATCATCTAATAGGCTACTTGTTGATACTATTTTGTGAGTATGATAGTAGTCGTTATTTCGTATTTATTGGTTATATGTAAAAATTGATGTATTTCCTTGCAGTTTCAATATGCGTAGAAATAGGTATATGTGTGATCTCGATGCGGGGCAGCATTCTGGATGCCGAGGCGCGTACTTCGATCAACATCTGGATATATCTCAAGAGCTGTAAGTTACTGGTTTATAGTTCAAATTTTTATGTTTTTTACATATTAATTGATTTTTTTTTGTATATTTATAAATTTTATGTATATTTTCAGTGGTAATTCTCTTCGATATTGCCTGGCTGGTGGTGGGCTCCGTTTGGCTGGGTCATTATTATGCCACCTCACCCATCGATGATCCCAAAAAGGTCTATATAGGTGAGTATTTATAGATTATAAATAGTTTTAAAACATTTTTTCTTCTTTCTTAATTAGGTAATAGTTAACAAAAAAAGCAAATGATATTAAATATGAAATAAAAGAAAAGAACAAATGAATTAAAAACAATTTTTAGATATTTTTTAAATGTTACCAATCCTTTTTAAATAAGATATGGTGTTATACTTTAAGTTTCGATATATTAAACTTAAAGAAATTTGGAATATGATATTAAGTTTTAGATATATTTTAATATATCATTCTTGCCTTTTTCTCTTAAAAACATTCCTAATTAAAACTGTTTACAATTTCTACATATTGTGATAGTGCCCACACAGGTCGGGCAGAGAAATGTACTTAATTTGCGAGTCAGGGCCTTTGGATTTACTGATTTTAAATATTATAATATACAAGTTTCTTTATATTATATAACTATTTTTTTATAAATGCAAAAACTAGTTTTATTTTCTAGTTGTTTTCCTCGTTTTTATATAATTACTTGCCAGAGATTTTCTTCGAACTCGTTTTTCCTGATTGTGGCCTTAACCAATTTATTTAATGACTGCATATTAATCATTTTAATTAAAAGCACATTCTAAGTGTAAATTATAGGAATATTTTAACTAGATTTAATGTACATTTTGTACTCATATTAATTACAGTTGTAGCGTTCGATTACATGTGTCTGTAGCGATAAACATAACGAAACGACTAAAGCATCAATTATCGATAAATTAAAGATATATAAATTAGATTCCCTATTGAACTTATATTTTCCGTATCTTTAACCCCTCTCCCACAGCCATTATCATCTGCAATTGGGTACTGGTGGTGATAACGCTTATCACAATATGGTGCACCTTCGATGCAGCCGGCAGATCCTGGGTGAAGATGAAGAAGTACCAGCGTTCCATGCGGGAAACAGAGTCGCGTTTCAATTACAAGAGGAGCAATAGCATGAATCGCAACTGGCGACAAAGGTGGGTTCACATTACCTTCTTTATTATTGAACATATATCTAAAACAATTCGAAATCCCTTACAGGAAAGTAATGCGCGCCTACCAGGACAGTTGGGATCATCGTTGTCGGCTGTTATTCTGCTGTATGGGTTCATCGGAACGCAACCGGAACTCATTCACGGACATTGCCCGCCTGCTGAGCGATTTCTTTCGGGAACTGGATGTGGTGCCATCGGATGTGGTGGCCGGTTTGGTTCTGCTTCGAAAGTTCCAGCGGCTAGAGCGTGAGGCCATTGTGAGGCAGCGCAAGAATGGCACCTATGAGTTCCTCAGCGGTGTTCCCATCACAGAGCGGACCCAGTTCCTAGCACTCAACGATGCCAAAAACTATGACTTCTTTCAGACGGTCATCCATTACATGTACTTTGCCCAAGGTGCCTACGGCTGGCCCATGTACGTCATCATAAATCGCACCAAAATGTGGCACCTGCTGCCGGAATTGAAGTGAGTATTATAAGATTGTTGCTCCTAGAGAAAGTTTCTTACCTTATTCGAGTTTATTGCAGGTGCTTTGGCTGTTGCTGTGGCAGTGGCGATGATGCCGAGGTAATCCAGGACAATTGCTGTCTCTGCAACTACGCGGCGCTGAAGAAAACCCTGCAGCTGGGCGATATTGACATTGTCTATGCCACCTATCATGTGGATGTGGGTGAAACGCCCTTCTTTGTGGCCATCGATTATACGCAGCGGGCAATTGTGATCAGTATCCGGGGAACGTTGAGTATGAAGGACATCCTGACGGATCTAAATGCCGAGGGTGAGGTCCTGCCACTTCATCCGCCTCGCGATGATTGGTTGGGCCACAAGGGCATGGTGCAAGCAGCAATTTACATACGCAACAAGCTGCAACAGGAGAATCTCATTGAGAAGGCGTTGCAACGAAATCCGGATAGGCATACGCATACCTTCGATTTGGTGCTAGTGGGACACTCACTGGGTGCCGGCACGGCGGCTATACTGGCCATTCTGCTGAAACCCGATCATCCCACGCTGCAGTGCTTCAGCTATTCGCCACCAGGCGGTCTGCTCAGGTTTGCTTAGTCCGAGAATTCAACCAAATCAAACGAAGCTAATTTGTTAATCATACTTCCAGTATGCCCGCCGTGGAGTACTCCAAATCATTCATAACCTCGGTGGTGCTGGGCAAGGATGTGGTGCCGCGCATTGGTCTCAACCAAATGGAAGCCCTGCGAGCGGATCTCATCAATGCCATCCAACGCAGCGTGGATCCCAAGGTGGGTTTGAACTACTCAAAAGATCCAGAATGACTTGAGTTTAATTGTATTTCCCTTTCTCAGTGGAAGACAATTTCCTGTTCGGTCATTTGCTGTGGCTGCGGTCCGGAGCCCACCTCTGTGGTGAACATGTCCGGCCAGGACACGCACATCAATCAGTACCAGGAGGTAGCCTAACCCTATCTCTGTTTATACAATTATTAAAAGTTCTCAATATGTTTTAAGGAGCGTGGCACTGCCCGTTCGACCAGCGCTCATCCGACGGATAGCTCTATAGCTTTAACCCTGCATCAGCCCCTGTATCCGCCCGGTCGCATCATTCACATAGTGCGGCATCATCCCAAGCCTGACGAGTGAGTATATTATCATACGCATCCGCATCTGTTTCCTCCTCGACCCTAGACACCCGGTGACCTATTAACCTCCCCTACGTTGATTTATTTGTTGATGTTTTGTGTTTGGTTTGAGCTCCAAGAGCTCCAAGATCCGCCTCTGGCCAAGGTCGTTACTAATTGAGGTGCGATAACGTTGGCTACGCCAGCAGTGGTGTTGTTATCGCTCCGCATAGAGAGTGGGGTGAAATGTCATGTTGATCCGCAACTGACTCATCCCCAGATGACGTGTGAGAGGTGTGGCAGCTAGATAACTTTATGGTTTTATTTCCAAGTTGGTGATCTTGTCAACTTTCTCTCTTTCTTTACTGGGGTTAATGAACTATGGAACGGATCGTGATGCTTTAGTTATTGGTTTAACGTGTTCGGCATTTCGTCAATCTGATATGTTTTCTAGCTTTTGATGGGATAATTTCAATATAATTGTGGCCAATGGTATGAGAAATGGTTTAAACCTAGACATAAAGAGGGAAATTATATACAGCTTAGTGTTGATTTAATAACTTCTCATTTCTGAGTACGTTTGCAAGAGACCGAAAAGGTAAAAGCTGGCTTTTAGTTCTTCCATTTTAAAAGTTAAAAACAAGAAAGCAGGCTTACTTCGTAAGGACCAAATTATCAAAGTTTAAAAATCGCATAACTTTGTCAAAAATGCATCAAATTCAATTTAGAAACCTCTCCTGCGTTAGTTGTTTGGTGCTTAACAAATCTGCATACTAGTTTTAAAGTTTTAAGAAATCCAAATATTTTTTAGATTTTTCACAATTTTAACGATGTAACCCCTTTAATTTTTTTGAAAAAATTGGAAAAGCTTGTTTTGCTTCCTGAGATGGCCAGAAAGATTCGCCTGTTAATGCTGATCAAGAATATATATGATTTATAGGGTCGGAAATGGCTCCTTCACTGATTAAAATTATAGTTCCCTCTGCAGGATTCTTGAAATCGAAATTTTTGCTTAATAATTTTGTAGTATTTTTTGGGACAGTCAAAGTTAAAAAAATCGCATAACTTTGTCAAAAATGCATAAAATTCAATTCAGAAACCGCTCCTGTGTTAGTTGTTTGGCGCTTAACAAATCTGCATACTAGTTTTAAAGTTTTAAGAAATCCAAATATTTTTTAGATTTTTCACAATTTTAACGATGTAACCCCTTTAATTTTTTTGAAAAAATTGGAAAAGCTTGTTTTGCTTCCTGAGATGGCCAGAAAGATTCGCCTGTTAATGCTGATCAAGAATATATATGATTTATAGGGTCGGAAATGGCTCCTTCACTGATTAAAATTATAGTTCCCTCTGCAGGATTCTTGAAATCGAAATTTTTGCTTAATAATTTTGTAGTATTTTTTGGGACAGTCAAAGTTAAAAAAATCGCATAACTTTGTCAAAAATGCATAAAATTCAATTCAGAAACCGCTCCTGTATTAGTTGTTTGGCGCTTAACAAATCTGCATACTAGTTTTAAAGTTTTAAGAAATCCAAATATTTTTTAGATTTTTCACAATTTTAACGATGTAACCCCTTTAATTTTTTTGAAAAAATTTTTGCTTAATAATTTTGTAGTATTTTTTGGGACAGTCAAAGTTAAAAAAATCGCATAACTTTGTCAAAAATGCATAAAATTCGATTCAGAAACCGCTCCTGTGTTAGTTGTTTGGCGCTTAACAAATCTGCATACTAGTTTTAAAGTTTTAAGAAATCCAAATATTTTTTAGATTTTTCACAATTTTAACGATGTAACCCCTTTAATTTTTTTGAAAAAATTGAAAAAGCTTGTTTTGCTTCCTGAGATGGCCAGAAAGATTCGCCTGTTAATGCTGATCAAGAATATATATGATTTATAGGGTCGGAAATGGCTCCTTCACTGATTAAAATTATAGTTCCCTCTGCAGGATTCTTGAAATCGAAATTTTTGCTTAATAATTTTGTAGTATTTTTTGGGACAGTCAAAGTTTAAAAATCGCATAACTCTGGCAAAAATGCATCAATTTCAATTCAGAAACCGCTGCTGTGTTAGTTGTTTGGCGCTTAACAAATCTGCATACTAATTTAAAAGTTTTGAGAAATCCAAATATTTTTTAGATTTTTCACAATTTTAACGATTTAACGATTAACCCTTTAATTTTTTTGAAAAAATTGGAAAAGCTTGTTTTGCTTCCTGAGATGGCCAGAAAGATTCGCCTGTTAATGCTGATCAAGAATATATATGATTTATAGGGTCGGAAATGGCTCCTTCACTGATTAAAATTATAGTTCCCTCTGCTGGATTCTTGAAATCGAAATTTTTGCTTAATAATTTTGTAGTATTTTTTGGGACAGTCAAAGTTAAAAAAATCGCATAACTTTGTCAAAAATGCATCAATTTCAATTCAGAAACCGCTGCTGTGTTAGTTGTTTGGCGCTTAACAAATCTGCATACTAATTTAAAAGTTTTAAGAAATCCAAATATTTTTTAGATTTTTCACAATTTTAACGATGTAACCCCTTTAATTTTTTTGAAAAAATTGGAAAAGCTTGTTTTGCTTCCTGAGATGGCCAGAAAGATTCGCCTGTTAATGCTGATCAAGAATATATATGATTTATAGGGTCGGAAATGGCTCCTTCACTGATTAAAATTATAGTTCCCTCTGCAGGATTCTTGAAATCGAAATTTTTGCTTAATAATTTTGTAGTATTTTTTGGGACAGTCAAAGTTTAAAAAATCGCATAACTTTGTCAAAAATGCATCAATTTCAATTCAGAAACCGCTGCTGTGTTAGTTGTTTGGCGCTTAACAAATCTGCATACTAGCTTTAAAGTTTTAAGAAATCCAAATATTTTTTAGATTTTTCACAATTTTAACGATGTAACCCTTTAATTTTTCTGAAAAAATTGGAAAAGCTTGGTTTGCTTCCTGAGATGACCAGAAAGATTCGCCTGTTAATGCTGATCAAGAATATATATGATTTATAGGGTGGAAATGGCTCCTTCACTGATTAAAATTATAGTTCCCTCTGCAGGATTCTTGAAATCGAAATTTTTGCTTAATAATTTTGTAGTATTTTTTGGGACAGTCAAAGTTTAAAAAATCGCATAACTTTGTCAAAAATGCATCAATTTCAATTCAGAAACCGCTGCTGTGTTAGTTGTTTGGCGCTTAACAAATCTGCATACTAGTTTAAAGTTTTAAGAAATCCAAATATTTTTTAGATTTTTCACAATTTTAACGATGTAACTTTAATTTTTTTGAAAAAATTGGAAAAGCTTGTTTTGCTTCCTGAGATGGCCAGAAAGATTCGCCTGTTAATGCTGATCAAGAATATATATGATTTATAGGGTCGGAAATGGCTCCTTCACTGATTAAAATTATAGTTCCCTCTGCAGGATTCTTGAAATCGAAATTTTTGCTTAATAATTTTGTAGTATTTTTTGGGACAGTCAAAGTTAAAAAAATCGCATAACTTTGTCAAAAATGCATCAATTTCAATTCAGAAACCGCTGCTGTGTTAGTTGTTTGGCGCTTAACAAATCTGCATACTAGTTTAAAGTTTTAAGAAATCCAAATATTTTTTAGATTTTTCACAATTTTAACGATGTAACCCCTTTAATTTTTCTGAAAAAATTGGAAAAGCTTGTTTTGCTTCCTGAGATGGCCAGAAAGATTCGCCTGTTAATGCTGATCAAGAATATATATGATTATAGGGTCGGAAATGGCTCCTTCACTGATTAAAATTATAGTTCCCTCTGCAGGATTCTTGAAATCGAAATTTTTGCTTAATAATTTTGTAGTATTTTTGGGACAGTCAAAGTTTAAAAATCGCATAACTCTGGCAAAAATGCATCAATTTCAATTCAGAAACCGCTGCTGTGTTAGTTGTTTGGCGCTTAACAAATCTGCATACTAATTTAAAAGTTTTGAGAAATCCAAATATTTTTTAGATTTTTCACAATTTTAACGATGTAACCCTTTAATTTTTTTGAAAAAATTGGAAAAGCTTGTTTTGCTTCCTGAGATGGCCAGAAAGATTCGCCTGTTAATGCTGATCAAGAATATATATGATTTATAGGGTCGGAAATGGCTCCTTCACTGATTAAAATTATAGTTCCCTCTGCAGGATTCTTGAAATCGAAATTTTTGCTTAATAATTTTGTAGTATTTTTTGGGACAGTCAAAGTTTAAAAATCGCATAACTCTGGCAAAAATGCATCAATTTCAATTCAGAAACCGCTGCTGTGTTATTGTTTGGCGCTTAACAAATCTGCATACTAGTTTTAAAGTTTTGAGAAATCCAAATATTTTTTTAGATTTTTCACAATTTTAACGATGTAACCCCTTTAATTTTTTTAAAAAATTGGAAAAGCTTGTTTGCTTCCTGAGATGGCCAGAAAGATTCGCCTGTTAATGCTGATCAAGAATATTATGATTATAGGGTCGGAAATGGCTCCTTCACTGATTAAAATTATAGTTTCCTCTGCAGGATTCTTGAAATCGAAATTTTTGCTTAATAATTTTGTAGTATTTTTTGGGACAGTCAAAGTTTAAAAATCGCATAACTTGCAAAAATGCATCAATTTCAATTCAGAAACCGCTGCTGTGTTAGTTGTTTGGCGCTTAACAAATCTGCATACTAATTTAAAGTTTTGAGAAATCCAAATATTTTTTAGATTTTTCACAATTTTAACGATGTAACCCTTTAATTTTTTTGAAAAAATTGGAAAAGCTTGTTTTGCTTCCTGAGATGGCCAGAAAGATTCGCCTGTTAATGCTGATCAAGAATATATATGATTTATAGGGTCGGAAATGGCTCCTTCACTGATTAAAATTATAGTTCCCTCTGCAGGATTCTTGAAATCGAAATTTTTGCTTAATAATTTTGTAGTATTTTTTGGGACAGTCAAAGTTTAAAAATCGCATAACTTTGTCAAAAATGCATCAATTTCAATTCAGAAACCGCTGCTGTGTTAGTTGTTTGGCGCTTAACAAATCTG